GTGAGACTCCCCAGGGGGATAGATCGATCTAAATATCTGTGGGAATGGTCTCTAAGATCCTAGACGTCCATTCCTAGGTCTACCATTCCTGTTAAACCAGTTTGGACTTGGCTGTGGCATCTCAATATGCTAAACCAAAATTAGAAAATGAGTATCCAGGTTTACCTTCTCTCCATACGATGAATCAAATGTTGGAACAATCACAATTAACAGCAGGATTCCAAATTCGATAGAAAACATCCTTATAAATTGTTGGTTTTCCACTATTCTGTAAAAAGCAAATTAATCAAGAATAACAAAAAGTCCCATGAATATCAAGATGATTAATGTGGTGGACTAATGCAAACTGCCAGCTTCAAGTTGGAATCTGCAAAACGGACGTCTCAAATTCTCAAATAAACATGACTAAGACTGGGTTCCCATACCTAGATCGATCGAACATGGTAATTTCAATAAGAATAATTAGCTAACTTGCTGAGTAGGGAATACCCTAATGCTAGTAAGGAAGTCATACTACTCAGAACACATTCAATTAACCTACATGTATGTTACTACAACATCTGTGCATAAAGCAAAATCCACACAAACAATTTGTTAATATATGTAAAATATGATATAGACCGAATTCTTTAGATTTCCGAAATACCCGAAAATTCATGTAACCATCAAAATGACAGACCCAGTTATGAGAACAAGTTCCAACAAAGCTACTGAAATTAGATTCAGCGATGCACTATTAGTAACACTTCGAGCAAAGTCTTCACAAACCACTTATTTGTGCCTATGTTTTGGGCACACTGGCTGGTTGCATGAAGCACATGCATGTGGCATTTTCCTGTCAGTGTTGCGTGGGCAAAACATTTGAATAAAATTTAAAAACTAATATTTAAAACCCATTGCTTCTCTTTGGGGTCATTAATGACCCCATAAGATTTTGTGATGTATAATTGGTTGATCCCTACAAAAAACTGTGAAAGTGTGTAGGATTGATAGACTGACAAACTCGTGCAAAGAAAGAAAATTCGAATAAAAAATAAAGAGATGGCACATTAAATCATATGGCTGGGGTCGTAAATGACCCCACTCGGTCACTTGAGGGTTAAAAGCAAGTTTAAGCAATTAAAAAAAAACAATGATAATTTTTTTAAAAAAATATTTTATCTAATTTGTACAATTCTCAGATGGTTCAATTCAACGAATTTAAATGTGCATGTTCCATTCCACTGGGCCAGCTTACTTAAAAGAGATGTTTCGATAAATTTTAAGACGCCTTTAAATAGGTAACAGAAACATTGGATCTAAATGTGCTTATCGCAAGTTTCTGGTAGGAACATAGTGAACAAGTAGACCATTAAGTAATTTTTTATAAAGAAGCGTCATATAAATGGGGACATAAATGCTTTTCAAGTCGAATAAGAATGAAGTCAGAATGTATTCCATCATTTATGGAATATTTTGTGAAAAATAATTTCTCTGGCTGCTGTCAGCAAATTTGAGAATGTAGAATGGCATCATAGAACCGACCTCCCGTCATATTTGTGAAACAGCTCCCCCTTTAACATTAATAGACCACATTAAAAATATCAAAATGCCTATTCTCACAGAAAAGAACTTGTTCAAACCTAAACTAAAATACTATCAGTCCGTGCAGGCACTATGCCAGAGTCGCGTGTTCTTTCCAGGTTTTGATCCTTAATTTTATTCTGGAGTTGCTCTTCCGAACACGTCTGATAGTTTCAGATACAACTTTCTTTTTGGTCGTCTGCATAGTGATGACAATGTTATTTCAAGTGTGGCGTGATTACCCCCATTACAATATGTTTCGGCGCATGGGCAATGCATTAATTTAAAATCATCAGTATACTCTGTATATTATGAACACAATATATGGCAATATACCGTGTATGCCTCCGATCATTGGAAAACTCAGGACTTACTCTTTATATCATGCATAGATGTATAATCTACCGACGCATATTAATAACCACAAAACACTGTAGGCCTATATTGAGGCGGGGTACAAATCATCAATAATTGTAATTATATTTTGAGTCATAAATATGTCGATCTATCAAATTGTTTCCCCACGGGCATGTCCTCAGTCCTTATGATGTTACAATATAAGTAAAGTAACCGATTTGACCATTGCTGCCTAAACATTGTAATGTACATATTTCTTATATTACAGATGCCTGTTCTACATGTCTAAGCAGCTGTATTGCTTTGTGATATAGATGCACGTACCCCCTATTCGATATGTTATCATTGTCCTATCACCATCAGTTTTAAGAGTTTCGCTTTGTATCCTTAACGTTAACATAGAATTACGTTGCCATACGGGTTGTCAATTGAGATATTTACTTAAAGACACTGATCTCATGATCATCTGTGGTATGTTGTCTTCTGGACAAATATTCTTACATACCATTAATTGTATGACGTGTTTAAGACCAACTGTGGTCATTTTCGTGTACATAAACTGGACATGAACACTCTGAAATATTAACGTTAGTGCGTATCGGTTGTACATTATACTGCTAACCGAAAATTATATGAAACTTTCATCAAAAATATGTAAAAAAGGGGAAGCGAATTAAATATTTGGAATGAAATTCAAAGTACACATTCGAGTGATAGGATCACACATACGGTATGTAAAGGATACATTTTGATGGCAAGACACACAATAAAAATAAGAATAAGAAAATGCAAAAGTAAATGACCACCATACGTTTCTACATAGTATACTCTAGATTTGACTCATAAAGACTTGCTTCGCCCATTAATAGTGTTTGTCTGTCCAGCTATTTTATATCGTTGTAGCCAACTATTTGTACATGCATGGACATAACTTAAATATGGATAGTGTGTTACAATATACTAAAAACTGGAAAAGAACTAGTATGTGCGATTACCGCTAATCCAAATGACATATTTTCGGCTGGAACAATCACCATAAGCAGCAGAATTACAGATTTCGAGGAAAACATCTTTAACAAGTCTCAGTCAACACGACCTTATAAATAAGAGGAAACACGAATGACATATGTACATCAGCTGGAATATAATAATAATAATAATAATAATAATAATTTTGTTTGTTCAGTAGACTGTACATGGGTAAAATGAATAAAAATAAGATGAAAAATGTTATTAAATAAATAGACAGTTGAAATATTAAGATATATATTACAACGTAAAGATAAAAAGCCAGAAAAATCAATAATAAAACCTTTTGAAAAAATACGTTTTTAATTTTTTGTTATCTTGGCGGATTATAATATTATATTACTACACGCATGCTGCTCGATAGTTTTCTTTTTTTAAATATGACACAGTGCTTAATTTTAAAATGTAACATTAAATATGCTGGCTGGAATATATAGAATATTGTACATTTGTATGTCTGCAGGGGTATATGCCTCCGTTGAATGATGTACTATACTTATGGTTTGCTTCCAAAAAGACATATACAGGTAGAAAACACGGCAATCGTTGCTAGCTAAATTGGAACTGGGGATCTTACTGCGAAGTTAACAGACCATGATAATTGAATGTTATACTTAGAGCCTTACACGCTTGAAATACTAATTCAATCCGTTGGATATCCTATTTCCACGGACACTCAATCCTTAAAGCTGTTAGAAATAGTAAAATCACTAATCTAAACATTACTGCCCACATATTTGACATTTTTCTTACCTGATGTATGTCCTCCACGTCCTCCACGTCTAAGGTTGTGTTGCTTCAAGGAGAGTGGTCTTCTTCGATTACTTGATATCCCACCTCCTCTGGTTAAAGATGATGTCACACGTTTCCCCAATTCGACATGTTATCACCATCAGCTTTAAGAGTATCACTTTGTATCTTTAAATGTAAACATTGAATTACATTTTCATACGGGTTGTCAAGTGACATATTTTTACATTATCTTATACATACTGTTCATTAGTCATATCAATACTTTTATGCTGTTTTATAGACACATTGTTTTATAGACATATTGTGGCCGTTATTGTGTGAGGAAAGTGTAATCCATCAAATTTTGTACGTTACCAATAATCACGTACATGTATCAGTTGTATATTCTTCTGATGACCGAAAATTATATGAAACTTTGATCAAAATGATATACAGAAGGGATATCAAATTAATTATTTAAAACAAATGTAAAGAATAAAGTTAAGATAACATTTTCGTAGTATTAAACTTGCTGCTTATAAGTATACTGGTACTTTCGCGTATGTGGTTCTGTCATTCTTTGCTAGTGGTTACAAAATGTTGAATTTGACCGAAAATTTCAAACATTCTCTGGGAAGCTGTAATTTTGCGATGTGATAGCTACACCATCACAGTTTATCATTTCATAAAAAGGGAAACAGCAGCTGCCCTTTTTAGGGCACACAGGAGAGTTGAACAGCTATACCCACCAAATCTAAGACGCGTTACCCTGGGTAATATATTTTGCACAAACTAATGAAAGTCTAATGGAATGTTTTCAGTTTTAGTTTAAATCATAAGGGGGTGTTGTCTCAATGCTTCAAAACTGGGTTTGAAGAATTTAATCCACATTTCATGATTAATAAAAATGGTGAATATGTGGGTCACGGTAACGTTATTGACGCGGGTACATGTACAAAAACTTTTTATNAAAGAAAGGAGCAGTCTAAAGGTCTTTTATGGCTGATCAAGTGATCTATTCATTTTATCCCTTGGCATGTCGAATTTATTTGAGTCACATAAGAATCTAGTAGAAGTGGTTTACATGTGTTACTGGGAATCCACGCTCCACCGATGCTCGGTTCGTATGTACCTTTAAGAAAGATTCTGAATAGTAAGGTCATGTCACCCTTTTCGTGATTATCATGTTATTGTGTGGTTTTATTATTATTATTACATGTACGTTTATTTACATGTTGACGAACAACCTTATTAATCGAGCCGGAAAATAAAAATGAACGCCTTTCCATAATTCACTTGGAATGCAAATATTGACAAATATGGCTTATCTTGACAAAAAAACTACTTTAAATGGTTTGTAAAATAAAACTCAAACTTCTCCCAAATATATCCCCGTTTTCAATACATTTTTTATGTTTCAATGGCCGTTGGGTTTGTGTAAAGCATTTTTTTAAATGGCAGATGTAATTAAATGTATGTTACTTAATTCTCAATTTTAGTGTTTGATGCCTCGGCCAAACTACCAAGCGGTGTGCTGGACGGGAATTTCAGATGGCTAGGTTCCTACAGCGAGTGTCTGGCCGTGGACGCCTATGTCCTGTACAATGTGACCAACCCTGACAACACCACCTGGACAGCGGATGACCAGTTTGGTGGACAGTACTGTACGGGCTACGTAGGGATACAACAGGTGGGGAACAGGAGATACCCATCAAAGATGGAACGTTACTATAACGTTACCGTAACGTTTATATAACCAAAGAACGTTATGGTGAAGTTATGGTAACGCTATAAAACGTTCTGGGTGTTGGGTAGGTATTGTGATATACATGTACGGGACAAAGAGCGTCAGAGGTCATTGACAATTCACCCTTATACTATCAGCATGTCTTTGCTGTCTCCCCTCACTGGGAAGAACAAAAACATGTTGATGATTTAGATGTGAGCTTCCAGGGACGGAGACGCAGGGTGGTATAAGAACGAATTTCTTGACTTTTAGCATGTGGATGACGATCAGATATAAACTATTTGTTATACCTTGTTCTTCCGTTTCTTTAAACAGCATGCGTATTTTTCCGATAACGAACATGCGAGAACCCATCAAAGAATGTACAGGTAAATCTGGGTTCGTACTGGGAATTAAAAGTCGCCGGAAAAATAATGGATCCCTAATAGACCTCATTCTAAACCCATATATATTCGAAGATCGTAATAACTTGGTCACGCCTGTTGAATTCAGTGAGCACTTTTCTGCTTTGGTTTAATGCTAAATGTTCATATTTTAGCCCGGCCAACCACCCGCGACTCTTAGCATTGGTTTATGTGTTCCAACAGGATGCAGTAACCAAGACTTGAAACACTTACTGAACGCATGTAAGTAGCCTACACTATTCCTGATCCAGGAACTGTATATTTAATAAATAAACAATGCAGTGATGAAAACATTGGGTTTATACTGTTATGACCTTTCAGTATGTAAAAAGTATGTGGATTTTTTTCTGCATAACTCGGAATTAATCGATCTTAAATTGATCTTTATAGTGCCATTGGTGGCATAGCGGGTTGGAGAGGGAGTTGCAATTAATATTACACTTGCTAAAACTAGAATTAAAACAGTTTTGTGTGGAACCTATGTGAACGCGGCTCACGCCGTCCAGAAAGGATTAAATGACATATTCCATGCGTCGTAGCCTCAGATTTGGTTAGGGAGGGATTCGAAAAACTGAAGTGTCTACTAGCTTTGAGCTAGGGAAGTTATTTCACTAGATTTTATTATATTATGTCTGCTTCCATTTTTAAGGTATGATACAATCCACATCCACGTTTTGATGCTAATTTTGAATTAAAGTATATATGATTGACCTTTTCTGGCAATTCTTAAGATCGTAAAACCAGGAACAATGATTGAATGGGCATATTATTATTATTGTTATGATTGTTAATATAATTTCAGTTATATCTATCCTACGAATAAAATCTCCACTTTTGGAAAAGGCTGCTTTTGCCTGCAACAAACAAGACCGACCGATGAACAGCGGTGCAATTGCAGTTATGTAAGTTCTCCCTCTCTCTCTCTCTCTCTCTCTCTCTCTCTCTCTGTGTGTGTGTGTGTGTGTGTGTGTGTATGTGTGTGTTGACTGGAATCCCGGAGGTGGTCTCTTAAATGATTGTCTGAATGAAGGGAAATCAACACCACATTATTCTCATTCTCAGTCGAGACAATCTAATTTCTTCTAAACTAAAATGCTTTTCTTACAGATGCATCGCAGGGTTAGTTGTGCTATGCGTACTTATTGGAACCATATATGACATCGTACACCAGAACATGGGTTTTAATCACAAACCATTGATTCCCTACGCCGGTGAGACAAAATTCACCAGTAACGGTGCTGCCTCCATGGGGGTTGATGAACACACACCACTAATACATTCTCAGAAAAATGTGGGTTATTCGAATTCCGAAAATAGTGGCGCCAATGGTAAGTGAGGGGTATGATGTAGAAATTTTTAAAATTTGAATCATTTTATTTTCGAATTAATTAGTCTTTCACTCACTCACACACCCACTCATTCCTGTTCCCTCACTCAATTTTTTAACTCACTTACTCACCAGTGTGTTTTCCTGTCGTTAATTTAATCCATTCACTTACACATTTACTTTTTATACCTTTTTTTCAGGCATTATGCATAAAGTCCTTGTAGCTTTTTCTGTATACACAAACGGTGCCAAAGTTCTGAACACCAAGCAAGCCAGTGGAGCTCTCACTTGTGTCAACGGAATACGGTTTCTGAGTCTCTCCTGGGTTATTTGGGGACACACCTACGTTTTTGCAATGACTACGATTGGTAAGTTTATTTATTTATTAAGTTTTGTTTTTTTATAGCAACCGTGACTGGTAAGTTAGTTAATGTGTTAACTATATATTCCTTATCTAAAAATATTAAGTATGTTGCAGTCACTGGATGCATCGTAAATTTGATGATAATCTCGACATTATCTGTCATGTAGTTGTACACTCTGAGGGCGTTATATTTTCTGTCTCCTCCATCCCAGTGTACCACAAACTTTCATAGAGACCATTCCCACAGATTTCTGGATCGATCTATCTCTCTGAGGAGTCTCACTAAATTACGATCAACTTAACCGGCTTTAATGTCTGTCACGCCTAGTAAGGGAGTAAGGTCGATCCAGATGGATCGATCTAAGTATGGGAACCCAGTCATAGTCTTATTCACAAGAAAATAGCAACAAAGAGTATTTATTGTTAAAGATTTGGCCAAACAAGGCCGCTTTTGTGATACAAGCCCACTTCCTAGTCATTTTAACAATGTAACAAATTGTTGCCTATATTAAATGTTATGGCCTTAGGGATAAAAAGACATATTAAATATTCAATAAGACTCATCATCCTAAAATTATGACGTAACGAGTCAGCAAAAATTAATATTTACAGACAATTTTGCACAA